CTAAAGACTCAAAATTTACATCATGGGCATGCTAGCTGTAATCTAAAATTAGTCAGCTGTTTTAAATTCAAATATAAAAGGACTAAATTATCCTCAGCCTCTTCAATTCATTACTTTCCAATTCCATTTGGCATTTGCACTTTATTTCCTCACTATACAGACTCCTTTGCCATTCCAAATTCCAATGGATCCACCGCCACCTTTGCCACCTCATCCCACCACCATTGCACCAGTAGTCTCTGCCGACGCCGCTACTACAGCCATAACCAACCACCCAGATTCTGCGAATTCTTCCCCACGCTCCCGTCCCGACACCTGGGATGAGCCTCTACCACCTGTCCCCGGCGCCAAGCTCCGCCTCATGTGCAGCTACGGCGGCCACATCATCCCTCGTCCTCATGACAAGTCCCTCTGCTACATTGGTGGAGATACCCGCATTGTGGTGGTGGACCGCCGCTCCTCACTGGAGGACTTTCACTCTCGCCTCTCTCATTCCCTCCTTAATGGTCGCCACTTCACTCTCAAGTATCAGCTCCCAAATGAAGAACTGGATTCTCTTATTTCAGTCTCCACTGATGAAGACTTGGAGAATATGATTGAAGAATATGACCGCACCACCGCCGCATCGCCGTTGAAACCCTCCCGTCTCCGCCTCTTTCTATTCCCTTCCATGCCAGAAACCGCCGCTTTTATGGGCTCTTTACTCGACGATGCTAAATCAGAAAATTGGTTTGTCGATGCATTGAATGGTACTGGGTTGATTCCTAGAGGGCTATCTGATTCTGCCGCCACTGATAATTTGGTTGAACTTGATGGGATTCAAAAGAGTGATTCTTCTGCAAATCTAGATCCCCAAAACGAGATTTTGGGTTTTAACAAACAAGTACATTCAAATTTGCCTGATTCTCCTATGGTTGAAACAAGTTCATCATTCGGGTCGAGTTCTTCATCCCCATCTATGTCAAATCTGCCTCCAGTTAAAGTTAGAATTGGAAATGATAGTGCGAGATTTCATGATCAGATGGCGGGATTGGATGAACAATTATCGCATGTGAGTATTGCTCCAAATGCACCACCACCAACTCATTCAGTTATTGGTTGCGCCGCCACTGTGTCATCGGTTGCTGGCGAGAACACGGCCACTGCCGCTGAACCTCTTAGTCGAGTCATAGCGGACAATGAAAAATCAGATCACGGGGCCCCAACAGGGCTTCGGAAGCCACCATTGCCGCTGCAACCGGTGCAACCAAAGCTCGTTGATGTATACAGTTTACCATCGCCGGATTCAAAGCATGCCGGAGGGTACAGCCTGCCATCGCCGGACTCTGTTGCGAGGTACTTAATCAAAGATCAAGTCTTCCCTTTGAATTTTACAGTTCTCTATTGCCTTATCGGTTATTTATCTGATAAGTACTGCAAAGAAATCGCATATCAAGTCCAACTATAATGAAGGATTAATTTTAGGCCATGCATTTTATAAGTAATCTTAAACGTATATTTTTAAACTAATCAAATTGATAATCAGTTCGATCCTTTCTGGTTGACATTGATACAAAATTAGCCCTTTTTTCTCAAATCTTGCCAAAGCAACACAGAGGGAAAGAAATTAAGTAGGGAGGGAAGAGGTGACTCAGTGGATGAATGGGGAGCGGGAACTAGGAGGCCTAGATTGGTTGGGATAAATGGACAACTGACGTGGAAGAAGAGGACACGATGAAGAAGATGAGAGTGTGCTAGGAATTTACGAATATAAGGTTAGTTAAAGAAGCTTGTATAAGCTGAGCCTTATTTTGAGAAATTCCTCATCATATAATCTCACAACTGTTGAATTTCTTGAAGTAGAACTTATAGAAACTTCAATCTGAATTAGTGACTCCTGAGATAATGGAATTCATCACATCAGCGAGAATATTCAATCCGCGATGTAATTTACGTTTGGAGATCAAATTGTAGAGTTTTTAGCTATTTTAATGATGTTGGAAGTTCGTAATCTTCAAACAATGTTGACTTATTTCATGATCTAAAAGAAAGCTTATGCTTGGAGATCAGTTTGAAGTTTTTTTCCTATTTCAAAAGGAAATTCTTATCCAGGGTCGTCAAACTTTGACAAGTGAAGTACATGGGTCCCCAACTATTTTTCTCTGGCCCTTGGATGCTTGGATTTTCATTTTCAGTGCTCGTTTGTCCCCACTAGAGGCCCCAAAATAACATGTACTTCACTTTTTTTGCTGCTTCAAGTTAACATTTCAACTTTTTAACTTTATAATTTAACTGACTGATTTGTGCAGTGATAGTAGTATTACTTCGGCTCCATCCCTCTCTAAGCATCATACAATATACCAAGATGCAACTCAACTTGCTAGCATGGAAAACCGAGTTCCCACCCCCTTGACTGATCACAACACCACCAATCAAGATCCTCCTCCTCAGTATCCTGTGCAGCAATTTTCCGATTCCTTTTCAATCCCAACTCTACATCAGAATCAACAGTTTATTCACCCAGGCACACATTATATCTCCCATCCCACTGCAAATCCACTGCCTTTGTCGTCATATTATCCAATGTATTTGCCTCAAACACAGCAACCCCTTCAAACCGATCCACAGTATCCGATGTACTTTTTGCCGCCCGTTAATCAATCTCAGCCTTACAATTTGAGTGGAGTTGTACCATCTAATATTGCTGATTCTACCATCGTTGCCTCGAGTAGACCATTAACACCTCCTCCCAACCATATGGCTCCTTCTGGTGCAACTTACAGTGAAACCATCCAGTCTCCCTATCCATCGACAGCAGCAACTGCCATGTCAAAACCCGAGATGGGTTCTAATATTTATAGAACCATGGCCACAGGCGGTCCAATGTTGGTTCAAGTTCCGTCCCATCAATTTCATCAACAGTACATTGGTGTTTCTCAAATTCCTAATCCATCACAGTCCACTGTTACTGCTGCTCCTCCCGCCATTGCTAATTACGCGCCTGAATATTCTCATCTGACAAACGAGCAGGTATACTATGCTCAACATCCTCCGGCGCCTTCTCAATACTATACTATGACTCCGGCTACAGAAGTAATGTTATCACAGGTTTCGACTCAAGTGCCTACGGACAATGCTGCAAATCAAATCAGAACCTCGTGATGGAAACTGATTCTTCTAAAAAATTTCGAGGTGCTTAAAGATTTCTATAAATGAATTAGCAATAAGATAATGTGGTTACTGTTTTCATTCTTGTTCTGTCCAGATTTTGTTAACAGTGTCTTCTAATCTACTTATGTATTGATAATTTGGTATTATGAATAAACGACTTGTTAACTTATTTCAATTTTTAATGAGCATTAGGGTACAAGCAACAAGGAGGAGACCGCATTTATTTCTGCAGAATTGGTCAAACTTTGCCCTCCAGCCTAGCCTAGCCCTATTTTAGCCCGATTTGACCTTTATTAAATTAAATTTCATTTTTTTCTATTTTATTTTCAACCACACAATCTTTTATAAAATAATATTACAGATAAATTAAATTTTTTTTCTTTTTCAACCACCTATTCTCTAAAAAATTATTATTCCACCTATTAAAATTTGAAATAATTAAATATCATACAAAATTATTAACTTTCAAAATTTATTATTTTTATGAATAATTTGTTCTTAAAATAAGTAATTTTTTTAATTAATAAAAAATTTGCTTATTAACTTTAGTCAAAATTTGTAACTACAATTCTCAAAATTAGAGCATCTCTAAGAATAATTTTTATTTTAAAGAGCATATTTTATAATTTAAAGAGTATTTACAAATTTATAGAATAAAAATATTTAAATACTCTAACGAATTTTTTATATTTAATACTTATTAAATAAAGAGCATCTTACGTTATTATTATATGTAAAAAAAAATTCTTGGAGACGTTCTAAGCCAAGAAGCTCATAGGTCCTTTTTTTTTTTTTTTTTTGGGGGTTGGGGGGGGGGGGGGGAAAAATTTTTTTTTTTTTGGCTGGGGGGGGGGGAGGGGGGTAAAATTTTTTCTCTTTGAAATGTATTTTGAGCCAAATTTGCTTAATATATGGCCTGGGTCGTTCACTCACATGCCAAGCTTTTACAAGTCAACCTCAATTGAATTATAATCCCATGGAAATAAGGGGTCCAGCAAAAAATAAAGCCCTGATTTGGTTTGTATTGAAATAAAATTCTTAATAGATTTTGATAAAATTTAATAAAATATATAATTGAAAATTTGATAAAAAATGTAAATTTCATAAAATGTGTGATTGAAAATGAATTTGAAACAATGAGGGTCAAACATGTACTTAATTCATTCTCTATATTTTGTTGACAAATGGTCTAGGTTCATTTCCACTTTACGTAGGGAGGGACACGATCGATGATCCATAGAGAATCAATATAAATCATATAAATGAGACCATTAATCCCCAATGTAATTATAGAATTGAAATTGAAACTGAATAGAAATTCAATGATTTTGATTTTCGACTCTTTCTCCCAAGTATTAATACCTCAACAATGCTATTCACACAGGGTTTAAAAATAGAGGTTTTGATAGATATTGTGTGGCACTACTTGTATGGGTGCTTTTTTTTTTTTTTTTTTTTTTTTACAAGGTGTCCTATTCTAGACTAATCCTTGGGTCTGTGATCCGGCCTTTATTTTTTAACCCTGTCATTGTAGCAAAACTTTTAATATCTATAACTGATTACAGTATTGGTGCCAAATTGGAGTTCAATTCAATTTTGATTCAATTTAATTCGATTAGAATACCTAAATGTAACCAAATGTGTCCGTTTAGTACGACTTTTACTATTTAAGCCAACTACTTCTAAAAAATCTTCTAATTCAAAACGAATAATGTTATTCATTATCATTGGTTCAAGAACCAATATAGATGATAATTGTAGGACAATAAATGATAAATACACTTAAATACAATCTCATATTATTTATTTAATTAAATCTATCGGGTGTGATTACATGGATTGTATAGTGAGATGCCTGCAATTATCGTTTTGATTAGCGTGTGGCCATGCCATTCTAGTCTTCCACGTAAAGATAATCTCACCTCTTTTGAAGCAATCAAATCACACATGGCGGGGAAGTTGAACACCCCATCATAAGAAGACAAACGAAACTCATTCCCACAAATTTCTGCAAAGTAACATAGTCCAATTTGGAGGATAAAGGAAACAAATCCCCACATATTTCTGCAAAGTAACATAGCCCAATTCGGAAGATTAAAGGACACAAATTCCGCAAATTTCTGCACACACTTTCCAATTGCAATATTGATCAACGAAAAATAGGAGTAATTGATATAAAAAATGGTTTTCGTTTTACCTCTGTCAGATTTCCAGACCAGGGTTGCGATCCAAATTGCATCCGTAGTCCGAGACCTCAATCCGACCCGTCCCGGAATCCGCATGAAAGCAGTGATCGGAACGAGAGCCGCTGAGAAGCCCGCCATTTGCACCGCCGATGAACTTCACTTCGTGCATGTTCCCAGCTCCAATTGGCGTCTTGCTCTCTGGCGCTACAAGCCCTCCACTCAGGTCGAACTTATGTCTGTCTATATATTACTTTTTACCCACTAGTTGATGGCTTGATGCGCATAAACTCAGCGAATGAACTGGGATCGGTGCCAAATCACATTTAGGCAGACCACAATTACACACACGTAGTACATGATTCAAATTTGTATCATTCCAATTTTGACTAAAATGTATGATTATACAGGGGACTAGGAGGAATCATCCGCTGTTACTTCTGTCTGGCCTTGGTACAAACGCAATTGGATATGATCTAGCTCCTGATGTAAGTTTCTACGGTTAATTTTGTTTTGGGAGAGGGCGCGCCCGGGATTGTGGGGATGGGAGACATTTTCCCATTTTTTCAGTAAAAATCTGTCAATGCTTTCATGATGGTATTATGTTAGCGTATTGTATTTATTTTTTTACTTTTACTTTTATTTTATTTTGTAGTTATGGATAGGCAAAATTCGGGTCCTATTTATTTAAAAGTTTGCTTCATGGAGAGGTTCAATTTATTGATTAAGTCTGTTCTAGTCTCTGTTGGTTTTATTGCTCTATTTACTGCATAAATATACACAAGTTTTGAAGTTGTCTTGAAAAGCATCAAATACAAATAATGAATTTCACTCACGATGTCATGAATATGAATCAAGCAACTCTTTTATTTATGCATTCTATTTGCAGTTTTTATTTTTTAATTTATTGGTATTCTGGAAGCAATCTGTGGCTGTGATTATTAGTATTTTCTGGCAATACTAATTTCTCGTGAAATATTCAGTTACCAGCATCAGATGAGCTATGTATTAAAATGTAAATGAAGAGATTTATATTTCATGTTTGTGTAACATTCGCGATTTGCAAAAGTCGTGGTAGCCTAATAATTTAAGTATTAATTTCAATTTCTTGCAGTTCAGTATGTGGTTGAGCGGTTTTAACTTAGCAAACGCTTTTCTGAACCTGGCCATTATGAACTAGCAGCAAAACATGTTTCACTGATCTCTTTTCTTGCAATTCAGTATGTGGTTCAGTGATTGTAACCTATTGACCACATGCTTTTCTGAACCTTGACCATTATGAACTAGCTGCAAAACATGGTTCACTGATCTCTTTTCTGCCTTTACTTTTTTTGAAGGAATGTTCTGCTTTCTTAGATTGGAATTGCTACAAGTTTCCGCCCATTGTTCTGCTCTATAGTTTGATTCATCAAAGTGTTTTACCAATTGAACCTGTAGTGAAGGAAGGTTACTTTATTTACATTAGAGTCTGCATTCATGGTTGAGTCTTGGTGGATGTCACCCTTTTAATTATCTCGTAATAATTAAATTGATTTTATATCTTTGTAGTCCTCTTTTGCAAGATACATGTGCAACCAAGGTTTCGATACATGGATCCTCGAACTTCGAGGTGCTGGCTTGAGTGCAGAATACAATCTAAGAGAAGCCAATCAACCTCTTATCACTGCTTCTGATCCACGTGACTCAACCACAAATCATGAGACAAATGATGGAGGCATCATTGCCTCACATTTTGTTGGCTTGCAAGAGCGCTTTTCAACTAGCATAGTAGATTTTCAGAAACAGGTTGATCTTGTTTTGAAGTATAGATGGGACTTTGATCACTATCTAGAAGAGGATGTGCCTGCGGCGGTGAGGTGACATCTGTGCACTATCAATTTTTTTGTTTCGAGAATAACCCAGACTTTTTACAATAGATGATTTACAAGTTATTTTATTTCATTATTAGCAATCAACAACTGTATAAAATCATGACACATGCTTAGTCTCTCAATGTAGATGGAATACATAAGGAACCATTGCCGACCAGATGACGGTAAGTTGCTTGCTATCGGCCACTCCATGGGAGGAATACTGCTATATGCAATCCTCTCAAAAAATGGTATGTTTGTATCTTGATTTTCTGCACCATTTACTTTTCTTACACGTTGCTCTCACTGATGTTCTCTCTGTCTCGTGATGTTCTAAAATGAATTTGAGGCCCCTTGAGGCGTACCCTGAAGTGATGAACATTGCCCTTTGGGATGCGAATTGAATGCCTTTGAAAAGCCTTCATTTAGGTGTATGCCTGAAGATATCAAATCAAGATAGACTTGAGCACCGGAGAGGAAAACAAATGAAAACTTGGATAAACTAATAACTAAATGTTGATAATAGCAACAAACGTTTCTATTTATCTTCTCCCCCATTTTATTTTGATTGTTAATCAGGACCAGACTCCCTCTCACAGATGCTGCAGCAGAAATATTAGTGGACGATGCAAAAGAAATTTCATTTTTCCAATATAATTTTACGACGCATTCAGAACTTGAATTCTCAGGGATCTTTTTGGTCTTGCAATCGCATTCAAAGACGCACTTGCTTAAGTTTCATTCAAATCCATGCTGATAAATGTAGAAATTGTGTTGCTTAATACTCTATTACTGTTTGAAGTTTACATTAACTTTGTACATTGTCAACCGAAGAGTCATAGCACCTAATATTGCCTGATATCTGTTCTAAGTTGAACAGAGCATAGTCCCGTATAAATGCAGAAAGCCAACAACTATGCATTTATGGCATCCCATCTGCTCTCTAGCTTTAAATTTTTATTATCTAACTTACTTTCAAAAGAAAAACAAATTTTTAATACGGACACTTGAATAAGATTTTACTACATATAGTTCATCCACTTATTGGTAATTTTGGTTTTGTTGGACTTTACTTTCGTTTTTTGATCCACTCGTAAAAAAAGAGAAATTCAAAGACCGTCTCTTAAGTTTCATCTTTGATGTTTTGGAGTTTCAAATATTCTACAAACGATTTTTGCTTTTGTAAGTCTAAATTAATCATTAGAAAGCGAAAAACAAAGAAATAGTTGCAGTTCACATGTTCTTATCTGATTTCTACAATTATGAACATTCTTCCTTTGTCTGTTCTATGTCCGCAAGTTTTGCATCACATGAAAATTGTATTACTGAATAAACTGAAGATATCCATGGAACATTCAACCATTGTTAGGATTTCAACTTTCAAACCCCGAAACTATGTCCACATTTGTGTATCTATCTGTACTGTGTTAATATTGACTCTTCTAATATAGGTCACAAAGGAAAGAACTCTGGGTTGGCAGCAGTGGTCACATTGGGATCATCACTTGACTACACTACTTCGAGATCATCATTAAAGTTTCTATTACCCCTTGTAAGTGAAATAAGATACTTATTGACTCTGTGCAACAATATTTACCTGTTAATGATGAGATTATCATAATTTATTCTGGGAAAAACAGGTAGATCCCGCACGAGCACTGAATGTTCCTGTAATTCCATTGGGAGCATTATCGGCAGCTTTACACCCTGTTGCGTCTCGTCCTTATTTTTTCTTGTGGTTGAAATCTCAAGTTTCTGCCCAGAATATGATGCATCCTGAATTATTTGAGAAGCTTATGTTGAACAACTTCTGTAAGATATTTGCTTTTGAGCAAAACAGTCAGTCTCTTTATAGAATGAATCATGATAGTGTTACTTTATATCGCAAATTGATTCTTGCTTCGGTCAACTTTTTAAGCTAAGAATATCGTTTGATTCATAGTATTTGTGTATATATATACAGGTACGATACCAGCGAAACTTTTCTTGCAGCTTTCAACAGCATTCCAAAAGGGTGGACTATGTAACAGGAATGGAACTTTCTATTACAAGGAACATCTGAAGAAAAGTAACATTCCAGTTTTGGCACTTGCTGGAGATCAAGACCTCATTTGTCCTCCTGAAGCTGTATATGGTAAAATACCATTTCAATTATACATGGTTCGGTTTTCTTGCGCTTTTTAATTTATTTGCATGTTCCTGTTTTGTTTTTGTGCGACAACATGGAGTAGAAACAGTCAAGATGATTCCCAGGCATTCGGCTTCATTCAAAGTTTTTGGAGAACCGAGAGGTCCACACTACGCTCACTACGATATAGTAGGAGGTCGTTTGGTACGTTGTGATCTTAAGTATTTCATGTTGGTAATACATTGGCCACTAAATTTCAGTTTGTTTCAATTGGATTGAACTTGAACATTTGTTGTAATTATGTCGTTCAATCTAATTTCAGGCTTCACATCATGTGTACCCGTGTGTGGTTGAATTTCTATCTCGTCACGATCAGGCTTGAATTTATACCTGCGTCATGATCAAGTGTAGCTCGGTTTGTTGTTGTTGAACTCTTGGAGAAGTTTTCTTCAGTCAGCAGTATCGAATCTTTTAAGCCAAAGGAAAGGGAAATCCCATATTAGAAACTCTTAAGCTAGCCAGTATCAATTTGAACATCTTTATTAAGAAAGTGCTTGCTGTCACTGCCAGATAAGGGATACATTTTTTTTACATTTAATACTTAACTCTTGGGGAGGGCGGAAGTGGAAGGCTCAGAATGAAACTGGTCTGGGAGGTATGGGTGTAACCAACTTGGCTTCCAGCAGCTGCGGAAGCAATTGTGATAATGATACAGGAAGAACGCGGAATTTGGAGATTAAGACCTTTATTAGGATATGAATAGCTTATATGCCATTACCCTATCACCCCCGCCGGGGGCAGAACTAACTCGATAAGATCAAGATCCATTGAATCCCGGTGTAATCAGTACATATGACGTATGGGATTTGACTTCTATCTTTAATGAGAACCAAGCTTAATTTGATTCTAGTCTAGTTTTCTTCATATATTTCTGGGATTTGACTTCTGAAATACGCATCAAAATTACACAATGACCCTGTTTGAGCCGCATTATTTGGAAAAAAAATATATTTTTAAACAGTAATTTGATATCATTTTAATCACATTTTTCAATAAAATAATATTACACATAAATCCAAATTTTTTTCTTATTTTTTAACTATAAGTTCTCCACCAGTCTACTATTTCAAATACATTATTTAAAAATAATGTGGTCAATCTCACACAATATTTTTTAGGATATGGACTCTCTTAGCACCTTTTGTCCTGCTAATGTTTTGAGTCAAATTCCAGTTTCTCGTGGAAAGGATATATTGGTATACAATAATACAAATGTTCGGGAATTCAACTTGTTTTTCTTCATCGTTGTTCATTAGATCCAATGAAAAGGTTGAGAATTTGCTGTGCATAGAAATAGGTTAAGGACCAAATTGTGAAAAAGGTCCATTAGTCGAGGACTAATGGTGCAATTTTTTCCTTTCTAATGTGATTGGGAGATAAAAATCCAATACTATATCTGCAACCAATCCATTTGTTGTGACAAAATTAAGTGAAAATGAATATTCTCCAAAAAAAAAAAAAAAATTAGTTTTTTCATTGAAATTTCAGGTTATAAGTATGAAATATCTTCACTTCAGAGCAATTTTCTCGAGGACTAAAATTAAGAAAATTTACCTTCTCTATTCTAAGGCAAAAAACAATGCAGCATACAATGCATAATTTTCACACTAAAGACAAATGCTTAGATTCAACCTTAATATAGTAATTCGGAGTGTACAGGCTTTTCTTCATAGAATTTTTACAACAGTAGCATCTATATTGTTCATTTTATTTTTTGTCATCTTTCAACCAAAAATTGCCAAATACCCTCGGTATAAATTCAGTGAACCAAATTCTGTAACTGCTGCAAGGTTCACCTTGATAACATAACAAAAGTAGACATAGATTCTGCAAGCTGAAGAAAAAGAAAGACAAAAATATTCCAAATTTGAATTCGAATCAGGTGTAATCATATAGATATAAAAAAGCAAGATCTTTGATTATTGAAATTATAATCAGCTTATAATGATCTCAACCGGAAACCTTTCAATCCACAACTCAGCAGCCAACCAAGAACCGGGACGGTTTGATTAAGCAAAATTACATATTGAAATGCAAAATCAAAGAATTACTTTACTATAAAGGATGATGAAATCCTCATTAGAATAAAAATTAAAAAGCAGAATGATATATGAGAAATGCAAGTGTTGTATGATTTAGGTTTGAGGCTTAGCTGGTTTTTTGCATATAGGGCAAATATTTTTCTGCACAAGCCACTGCTTTATGCAGTGAATGTGATAGAAGTGTCCACAATTCAGCTTCCCGGTTTCATCATCAGTTTCATATTCCTCCTGAGAAGAAAAAAGAAAAAAAAAAATATATATATGATGAGAAAGGTGACATGAATCATGACATGGGCACTCGTGGTGGTCTGATTAAAAAAATCGGAGAAAAAAAAAGGAGAAAAAAGAGAAATGGGGAATATTCGATAAAATTCTTGAGATGAATTTAATAAGACGAACCTGACATATGCTGCATTTCCTTTCTGTTGCTGTGGGGAATTTTGATGACAAATTATCCAACATTGGAACCTTAGTCCTCCTCAAACAGCAGGATATCTCATCCTCACTCAGTCCGGTGCTGACATGCCCAATTCTGTCACCAAGTTCCAGTAATTCCTGTTCATTTCACCAAAATAACGACATTTAGAACAATACAAGATTACTGCACGGACCAAGCATGTACTAGAATAATCAATGTCCTAAAGAAGCGAAAGCAAAACTAGATAAAACGAAGGCATTCATAGAGTTACTGATATACCTCATATGACATGTTATCGACATCGAGTCTCCAATCCCTGTATTTATCGGGTCGTTCCGATCTTCCTCCCATCAGCAGATTACTTTGGAGCATTACAATCTACACCAAATGTAATGGAACCATAGGAGCCAACTCAAATATGATCTATGAAGTAATATCTATCCACACCATTATTGTAGTAAAGGACATAATGCTAGATTAATCATTACTGCAAGGGGGTGATCTTAAGAATCTTTGTTGTAAATTCGATTTTCAAGGGAATGAAAAAGATGTGTATGATAGAATAGCTCAATATTAGCCACACATGCAGGAAGATTACCCACAGATAGACATTTCTCCTATGAGCAGATTGGTTTTCTTACTTGTGCAATTTCAACATTTCGAGTTATGATTGGCAAATGAAGATTGATGTTAAGTATATAAGTCAAGTCCATAAAAGAAGAACAAAACTGCTTATTTTGAAATGGTCAGTAAGTTTTCATTCAACTAGACATTCCAGTTTCTAACTCCCAAACGACAGCTGAGTTTGATACTTTTCTTCATTGAACTTCGGAAGGAAATATTTAACGTGGTCACATAAAGCACCTAAAACTATACATAGGTTCTCTAAAAAACCGCTCCAAAAAATTTCTTTGCTAGTATTAATACCCCTTGAAGTTATTTTCTTCAACAAGAATTGAAACTTTAGTGAGTTTGTCAATAATTTCACTTTCTATCAAAAGGGCCCTTACCTCCCCTTAGCTTTAAATTCAAGTGGGTCGAAATCAGGAGGTTCTTGAAATAAGTCTTTCACCACCTTCCAATCTTTATCTAGCCTGTTATTTTAGCTGAAAAGGTACTAACAGGAGTTTGTATTCTCTTGAAATGTTACTAAGTATTTTGCTTATGTTTAATCTCCCACGATTCAAAATGTTAATCTACTTTACCAAATGCAATCTTGGTTCTTACCCAAGACTGTCTAATTGAAGATGAAAAACTTATCTTCATATTTGCTTCAAGATCTTCCTAGTCGACCTCAAAGTTCAATGTAGAAGCAGCATGCAAATATGAATCATCTACACTTCCATCCATCCTAGTTTTAGGATAAATCTGCAGAGCAGTCACCCAAACTCGACCTCAAGCTAGCGAGTTCTAATGATTTTTTAGTACACCACCCTACGAGAAAAAAACTCTACAGGAACTTCAAAAGTAGTAGAATTTTAAGAGGAGAGAGAGTGGGGGTTACATTTTACACCAACTTAAGTGCACCATATGGACTTTGCAATAAAACCAATGGACTGGAGGAAAATGATTAATATTGCTGGCTCCAAATTTTTTCATAATGGGCTTAGTTTTTTATTGTTGTAAGTAGGTATATTTTACACAAAATTTGCAATACAAGAAAACACACTACAATGGTAGATAACCTGCAATTCAAGAGCTTCAACAACTCAAATTAAGACTCCTCTGAGAGCTTCCCATCTCAATCTCATAAGTTTTTGATCCTTTATCTAGAATACAATTTACGAAGTGGCAATGCAAGCCTAACTTGTATTATTGGTGAAGGGAGAAATTTAATCTTTAATCATAGCAAGATTAAGTGAAATTCAATTGACTCAATAATATGAAAAGAAAATCTAAAATAAAAATGCCCTTAAATTCAATAAATAGGATAAAGCTCCATGTGGACCTAAGATTAAACGAACCTCTGCAAGTTCATCATGGAAACCATGTCTGAGATGGCGACAATATCTAGATCCTGAAACGCCCGCCCTAGAGCGTGTCATTCCCAAGGCAATGCCAGGATCATGGAAAGGGATATCTTCAGAGGTCACCATTCTCCTCATATTATATGAAGAATTCTGAAAATGAACAAATAAATCCAGGTTATTGTATGAGCTAACCATATAGTTTGACTGGAAAATATCAAAGTAGCATTCAATCTTAACTTTATGAAGCATGTAAACTGTGAAGATCACTTGAAAACAGAAAAATAAACAGCAAACAGAAACTCCGAGAAATAATTGAGGGAAGTCTAAGAAGGACCATCCTTACAAATTTTTTTTGTTAAATTGTATAGAACATGACCATATCACATGAACAACGAATTCATTTTTCGTTTGAAGCTCAGTACATGCACAATTTTGTAAAACGGAGGCTGCCAGACTTGAGCTGAGTCCTTTCCTGTTTTGATACTATCTTCAACCACCCGTATAAAAGCTTTGGTTATTAGAGTGGCATAATAAATTCATTTGCATTAAATTCAACAAAACCATGGCATTTTTTTAATAAGATAGACAAGAAAGAAATTGAAGCAAGTTATTATAATAATCTTGCAGAACTTGGTGAAGAATACAAAAGGTAGAATCAGATTTAGAAAACTGATAAGTCGAATTCATTCTAAAATCTTGGTTCAGCAAATAAAGATAGTAATACACAACATTCTCTGAACTTCATCCGCAGAAAACAAAATAAAAAAGATAAAAAATTCAAAAATCAAGAAACAGATCATATTCGAAATGATATGGTTATAAAGCTAATGTAAAATTACCTCTCTCTGACTATGAATAATTCTATCAGCCCCATCAGCTTTGCTTCTGGAAGAAACTGCAGGTCTTTTTGAAACAACACAATTCACAGGCGCAGCAACGCCGTTGAGCCCAATCCCAGGACCACACAGTACATCAGGTACTCCCCCGCAATTTGATGATAAAGCCAACGGCTGTGATGGATTTGATGTTGGGCTATTGTTATTTTTTATGTTATTCGTAGCAATAACAGCAGGAGAACTATTAGTCTGTAATTTGTTGTTATCATTATTGTGGATTTTCTTGTTCTTCACCTTTATCCTTTTCACCTTGTTAGCATTCCAATTAGCCGAGGTTCTTATCACTGCAGGAACTGACACCGTTGAGGAGGAAGTGCAGCCCAGTCCTCTGAATGTTGCTGCGGTGAAGATCTTTTTCTTGGCGGCGGCGGTGATGGTGGAGGAGGAGGGGAGGTGGTTTTGGTTTCTGGGCTTTCTATATTTAGTGTGTTCTGCCATTGCTGAGGTGTCTGCAACCACCGCATCCATCGTTGTGCAGTCTTGAGAGAAATATCAAGTTTTATGTAAGTTATTGAGAGATAAAGAGATTTTGGAGAACGAATTTTGCGTGAAAACTAACAAATTTCAAGGATGGAATTTTGTGAATTTGAAGAGTAATGCTTCTGAAGGAATCTATGTGTGCGTGAGAGGGAGGGCGTGGGGGTGGAATTTAGCCCCCATTAAAATTATAATATATTTTTCTTCTTTTTCTTATTAATTACTAAATTCAAAAAAAAAAAATCTTTTTTTAATACACAATTTTTCCAAAAATATTATTCTAAAAATTATAATCTCAAATAATGGGACCAAAAGGAGATATGTTCTTGACTTGTGAAGTGATGAAGAAATTATTAAACAGACAAAAAGAAAAAAGATTTTTCTTCTAAAAGTATTATTTTAGCATTTTTAAAATATAAATTTTTGTAATTATAAATTTAATGAAAGAAACAGTATAGAGTAGCTAAATACAATGCGCGCAATAAGCACGAAGGAGGGCATATGCCGTGAAAAGGACAAGATGTGTCACGAATGATTGTAATTTTAATTCTCGACAAGTTCAACGATACAAGATAAGATTCTCTAAACAGATAAGTGACGAGAAGCAAAGAAAAAAAATCTAGTAAGTTAAAAAGAGTAATATGCAAGATATTAAAAGAGAAGTGAATGATAATGTAAATCTTTCTTTAACGTGTGTGTATGTATGTATACATACACTAACAAAGACGAATGAAAATTTAGTTTTAATTTTCTCTTATACAAATTTTTTTTTTTTTTTTTTTTTTAACATTAGCATTTAACATTATGGAAAAGTGCACTTAATTGGTGGAATAAATTTGAAAAAGAGGGAGGAATAATAGTATGGTATATATTTCCCAAGGCAATGCACCTTATTCTTTAGGAAAAATTATGTTGAGATACCTAATGTATTGAAAATGTAGTATGCAGGTACTTAACCTATTATTTTAGCAGTTACAGTATCCAAACTAATTTTTTTTATCATTCAAGTCCAAACAATTTCACCCTTCCATTGATTAAAACTCAATTTATTTTTTTATTACTAGAAGAGGATTTTATACTTACGAAGGAGAAAAATAATATAAATTAGAAAATCCAACTACATTTATCTTTTATTATTAAAGTTGTATTTTAACCCAAAAAAAATTGAGTTTTCAAACGTAACATAAGGATAAAATCGTCAATATATAACAAAAATAAAAGTTTGGGGATTGAGGCTGCTAAAATATTAGGTTTGGGGCATTCTTCCTGCAATTTCAATAAGATGGGGACTCCATCTATAAATTTCCCCATTCTTTATTTTGGTGGATGGAGCATATTATCATTTTTGGTTGATTAGGTGGGGTCTATTTTGTCTTCTTGCATCCAATTTTACTGTTTATGTATTTTTATTTTGTTTATTGTTACTTTCAAAATTAGAGATCACAATTTAGTAGGAGATATCTTGTCTATCGATAAAGCAACATCGATTGGGCCTAAAATATTGATGAGACCTCGTCGATAGGTAAGATATCTTCTGTCTAATATGGGCAAGAGATTTATCTTTTACAATTTAGTCCATAACAAGTCTTTCTATTTGAAATCAACTCTTTCGTTCTATAATTAAACTTCACCTAATGTTTCAATTACTATTCAGCCATTGACTCAAGAAGAAAAGTAGATAAAAATCACATTTTTTACAACCTGAGATTATCGTCCAAGAATTTTAAATCTTAATAACTACTTTTGAGAGCAGTAATAATAACTAGAAAACAAGCAAAGCATACATAGAATTATATCGATTCACTCTTAATGTAAGAACTACGTTCACTAATCAATGTATGTTTTCATTGTAACGGAGAAAAAGAAAATGCAAACTTTTCCTGACAACTCTCTTACACAAAAATTGCCTTATAATAATCTTTCAGATAACATGATAAATAAATCAATTCGTAGTCGAGGAGACAAGTGTACAATCAGATTAGATTTCATATGAAGTGAGTCTCGAATGAGAAATCGCGGGATCAAACAATAATAGCAGCTTAGAGATTACAAGTTCGCAATAATTAGGATTTTGCTAGCAAATAGCAATATTTGTTCAGGCTAAAAATATTTATCATCATGCGATCAAGTCTATAATATGTAAATATACATAATCTATTGAGTGGGGTCATGAAACTATGCTTTCCTTCAACACTCTTAATTGATAGTATAATTTGTGTCTGCATACAATTAATTTATGGACTCCTATTTCAGAATCATTCTTTTTTTCTTTGTTTTGCTTCAAGTTTCTTTTGTAATTTTAAAGGTAACTTGCACTTGTAGAAGTTCAGTCTATTTGTCACCACTTTTAAGTTTATTTGTTCAAGAGCTATGTAGATTTTGCGAAAAAATATTTTTTAAAAGAATACATGGTAAAAAAGAAGGAAAAATTTATGGATACGCGTGTAAAATTATTTTATTGAGAGAATAGGTGATTGAAAATGAGTTTAGGAAAAAAATCAATTGAGGAAAGTAAATCGAGATGTGCCCCAGTACAAGAGCTGTCTGTACACTGCGCCTACAAAGACACCTAATCAATATTTTTCCTTTTTAATAGGGTGAAGGGAGAGAAAGGTATAAATACTTGAACTCTATATCTAAGCTATGAAAATATCAATACTTAACCCATCGGAACAATAAGAATCAGTAACAAATATAATGTTAGTGGTGTTGAAGAAATATAATCGTAAACTCACCGACTAAGTTAAAACAATATAAGATGAGTGATCAAATGGCTGAAAGTCGAGTAAATATTACGACATTAAATTTAAGATGAAAAAAAGAAGAAGGTAAATTTGTTGATGAGTCCCCTAAAGAGAAAAAAGCAAAATTGCTTGCTTAAATAAGGCATGATGACAGTTTTCAATGTAATAACTAATAATCATCACTTTACAAAGTGAATAAATGCTCCTAAAGTCAGACATTTCATTCAAATCTCGACATCAAATTATGAGTGTTTTACATGTTCGATGACTCAAAAATCTCCAAATCAAATGAAAAGTAGTCAGTGGCTTAGCCATGAACTTTATGAAATCTCATTTCTAAAGTGGTACATTTGTTAGACTGTGCTGTTTACTTATCATCTTGACTACATATCAATCTAATTTATAGGTAGAATGATATTATTTAGCATGACTCGTACTGTTACTAACCACCGGTCTGGATGGAGTGCACGTATCATTAATTGATAAATCACCTTAAAGTAAGAAAATAAATCGTAATTAAGATGTTGAATCACTTGTAATTTTCTTCTTTATAGAAAAACATATGTTGACAAGTGGACGTAGGATGGGATCGATATAAATCTTTGTGTTTTATTTGTATATTTCTTATTTTCATTTCAGTTCTTATTGCTCTCGATATTCCTATCAGAACTTAATCTTTTAATGCCCTTACCATTAATCCAATGTAAACCAGGTTCAAGTGCATGTTTCAATCCCTCTTGTTTTCTCCACCAACCCCTTACTAAAGGAGACTGTCTTATTCTATACATCATTGCCTCCCAATGAAATAAAGAAAAAGAATTCATATTTTGCTTAAACTTTTGCACAGAATAGAGACGTTTGATTTCATCTTGACAAGGTTTTATTTGATTTTATTCTCTTTCGTAGAATTTTTCCTAGAACCTCGACCACAAACTTTTTGCACCATCTGTTAATTTTACAGGCAAGATCATCCACTTCGTTTCTCCTGCAAAAAATGGAAATATTGCCAAGTAGAGAAGTCCTTGATTTTCATATGCAAGAAAGGAAGTTAATTAGGCTGTTAGAAAATGGGGAGGTTAATATGGCACGATATGAAGTATTGATTGCACAAACAGAATATGATTAAAGCAAGAAGAGAGATTGGCAAAAAAACTGAGTAATTTTATTAATTGACAATTAATGGAGAGAAAATTACATTATCAGCAATATCTGGAATATTTAAATTGAATGAAGAGTCTACTATTTATAGAGGACGTCTCAAACACTAAAAATAATATAAAAGATGGAAACTGGGTCAAAATACGCGTGAAATCGATATAAAGTGAAAAATCCGAAGGACACTGTCGCTCAGGCGAGAGCTCGACGACAAGTGGGCGACAATTCTCCGCTTTCAAAAATTTGCCTATTGCTCGAGCGACCAACTAGCGGTAGGCTAAGAAAAATTCAACGACTTTTCTTTCCACGTCATAATTTTGATCTCTTCAAGACCAATTCAACTAGGATTCCAACTCACGCAAACGTAGATCGAATTTGAGTCTCAATCCTAACAATTTTGACCTTGACACAAATTTCGATGCAACGAACGAAACTCCAAAATTTCTCTACCTGAAAAAATAAGCCCAACTATAGCGAAACAACTAAACTTTTTAACCCGAACCAAAACTGCTCCAATCACACACAAAATTACTCTTCCTCTTCCACAATATCCACAAATAATATTCGAACCCAAACACTAGGTTCCCAAAATTCCCACAAAGAATTTAAGATTTACTAAACAGGGTCGAAGGACACCCTATAGCAGAATCAACTCCAAATGCTTTAACTTAAGGCTCCTTGCTAGTCTCGACGACTTCAACCACAAATAGCATATGCAATCATATGGCATCCATGTATCTTCGATGGATCATTATCTAGCAATTGAACGTGATGACATCGCAAACAATGGTGATAAAGCGGAATTATCCATATCCTCCATACTCCCCCAAGCAGTGTTTTTCAATAATGACCTAGAGCCAACTCCCAAAGGTGTTGTACCATATTGTATATCTACCATGATAATAAACTTGTGCTGATAATTCTTCACCGATTTTGCACGACCTTGCAAGATTTACAACTGGGACTTCTTTCGCCCTTCCAGTACCATACAAACACTCTTCCGAAATTTCAAAACTCCACCCCCTCCAGAGAACTTATAACCTTTCAAATTAAGAGTGCTAATGAGATGAGATTCTTCTTCAAATCTGAAATATATCGAACCTAGCCAAATGTTCTAATTGTTCCATCCAACAACTTCAATCTAACCCTACCAATACTAGCTATCCAATAAGGTTGATTAGTTTTCATGACAACGACACCTTGTGTCACCGTTTTATATGCTTCAAACAAATCCCGTTTGGGATACATATGGAACGCAGAAGCTATATCC